TGGATCACAAGCGCCAAAACTAGTACATTTACCCTACGTAAAATAGATCCAAACAACTACTTTCGTTTGTAAATAATGCTTATTGTTGCTAGAAAAAATAGCCGTTCCTGGTAACTATGAAAGGACTAGATGGCAGTCCCAGTCAGGGACCTAAGCCATAGTGGTCGAAATAGTTTGTAGGATCCTGTTAAGCTCCTCCTTTGCCTGTTTGATCAATTTTTTCATCTTTTCCTTATTAGAGAGTTGCATAGACTTTTCTCCTTTAGTTTACTTAAATCTTTGGTTTTTATTAGTTAGGTAGGTTCCGATTCAACACATTGTAGTTTCATTTTCATACCTGTGATCTTGAATTTTTTAGCTAGGGGATGAGTACTTAAGGGGGTTAAATTTTGATAAGTTCTTTAGTGGGAATGACACTGATGAAGACTGCACATTGAAGTTGAAATACGTATCTGTCATAGATACCCAAATTAATTAAGTGGAATTAAATGGAAGATAACCTTTTTTGCCAACATAAACCAACATAATTGGAGTAGATCTTTGTGTTGGGATTTGAGCTTTTTTTCTCAATTGGCCGCAATTGAAAAAAAACATATGGATGGTTGAATCTTTGGTTATCACAAGCATCGAAGCGCTTGATTTGATTTATCATGCTGCTTGAGAAATTTTTGTGAATGGAACGATGGTCACCTCAAAATACTGCATATCTTCCGCATAAACCGGGACACTTGTTTTAAAATTTTTCTGCTTCTCTCTGGACTTCAAATTATATGCAGTAAACTCCTAATTTGCGCGGTCGTATTTTTTCCACTACGAATCCAAATGAAATTTAAAGTTGATGCAATTGGCTATAAACAATTAGAAAAAGATTATCAAAAAATAGTACGTACATTCTTCATCTATACTTACAGAAAGAAAATTGAAAAAAATATTCACGGGCAAATTTAGAATAATCACATAAAACCAATACGTATCGCTTTCAAAATTGGGCTGTAAACAGTAAACATATGGTAGCTTACAATGACATTTCAGGATTTATCGTTGGGTTGCAGGTCATTACATAAAATATCAGCGAAAAATGTCAAATTTTTTAAATGCAAACGATAAAATATATTTTCCTGTGTGAAGCAAGGTGTTGAATTTGTTAAATCCAGCTATAAAGTTATAGATAAAGGACGTAAATAGTTTACGATAAAAAAGACATAAGTTCAGAAGTGTTAAGAAGTGATAGAATTATAAACCAGAGTATAATTATTTTAATAGGATTGACTACCCGCTTGATTCTCTTTCTTATTTTACAGCTGGTTAGGGTTTTCGATCTAATTTCCGTCCTACTAAGCACAACCCGCACTTAACCTCTCTTTTCTGAACGAGTTTAAACAAAAAATGGAATATTTCTGTCAAAAATGACTTCTAAATTCATTCACCTTTCCATACCGTTGGATTTGATAAAGATTCACAAATTGTTGAGATATTGTTTAAAATCTAATACTGCTTCTTGATTCTAAATTCCGTCCAAACGCATTGAAACGCCATTAGATTTCTTTCGTCCTACGGATAAACGTAGAAAAAAGGGATTCGCTAGGAGCGCTTCTTTTGTTTTGAGAACAATGAGCGTAAATATTCATACAATGCGTTCTAACAGGATTTATGTTGTAGCTAATGAACTAACGCATCGGAACAAACCTATGATTGATTTGTGGACGGTGAAATCATTGATATTATTGATCTTTTCTGATCGATAGAATGGAAATGGGCGATTACGATGAAGTAGCGCTCTACCCTATAATCAAATTGACAGATCGATGTCTTTCTATACCACTTGACATTACTGAAGTGGGGTTGATTTTGATGATCGAGTTCCACATATGTTATGTACCTTGGTGCAAATCGGCTTAAAAAGAGGATATATTTTTCGAAAACTAAATGAAATTCTATACCAAATGGGATAGGTGTGGTTCATGACGCTGTGAAAGTTTAGTTGGCATATAGAAAAAAATCATGTTCTTATATTTCTGCTTGTTACTTTTAAAACTTTAAATTTACAAAAAACCTAAGTGTTCCGATGAATTTCTGAGAAAATTTGCTATTAAAAACCATCTTCAGATGTAAAGATGATTGATATTTAAAAACTCCTAATACGTGGCAAACCTCAAACGATTTTTTTTTAATCATGATTTCTTGCAAAATTTACCTACCATAGCAACTTTAAAAAATTCTTGAAGCTTCATTTTTGTCCGATTAACCTCAAAATTTGGTACGTCTGCAAGTTCAAGCATAGTAAAATAAAGAAAAAATATAAAAAGTATGAAAACTCAAAGTTGAGTTTATGATTATTGTTCGGATTGGCCCCACTGTGCAACGGTAAAAGAATATCTCGAAAAAATATCTTACGGCAATTGTCTAATTTAAATATGTATGTCGAATCAAGGTGAACATACGGTCGACTACTCAAAAATCGACTTCGTCATGCTCAACGAGTTCCTGATGAGCTGTGATTGGAGCAGTATTCTGGCAACAAATGACGTCAACGATATGGCAGCACAATTTTGCAACATAATTTGCAATTGGCTCACCGATAACACTCCAAGACGAAAACCTCCTATATCTCCTGCTTGGAGTTCTCCTCGCCTGCGGCTTTTGAAACGCGATAAAAATTCCTGGCAGCGTAAACTTCGCCGACATCGAACTTCTGAAACGAAACGCAACTTTCATCGCGCTTGCAACGCCTATCGTAAGCTTAATTCAACCCTATACAAGTCATATGTCTTGCGTGTCCAGACCAATTTACGTAGAAATCCCAAGAGCTTCTGGAAGTTTGTGAACTCCAAGCGAAAATCGTCGAATATTCCTTCATCCGTATTTTTTGGCGATTTGGAGTCTACTTCTATGCTCGAATCGTGTGATCTATTTTCCCGCCACTTCAGTTCTGTTTTTTTTTTCGGATTCAGCCGCCAACGCAGATGAAGTAGAAAGAGCGGCTTGCAATGTTCCTGAGGGTCTCATCGATTTGCGTACATTTGTGGTTAGCAATATGTATGTCGTTAAAGCTGTTAGGAAGTTGAAGAAATCTGTTTCACCGGGTCCTGATGGTGTACCTGCAATCATTTTTTGCCGCTGTGTTGCTGTTTTAGCTGATCCCCTAGCTCGCATTTTTACCGCTTCGTTGCACCAAGGAGCTTTCCCCGAAATATGGAGACATTCCTTTATGTTCCCTGTCCATAAGAAGGGCGACAAACGTGACGTGACAAATTATCGTGGCATAACAAGTCTATCTGCAGCTTCAAAATTATTCGAGATCATTGTGAACGATGCTATCTTGTTTCATGTCAAGAGCTACATTTCAGCAACGCAACACGGATTTATGCCAGGACGCTCAGTTACATCAAATTTGCTGGAGTTCACCTCAACATGTATAAATCACTTGGAAAATAGGGCTCAAGTAGATACCGTTTATACCGATCTGAAAGCGGCATTCGATTGCATCGATCATGGTATTCTTCTTCGGAAAATGTCTCGCCTGGGAATTTCGGATGGTTTGGTTGATTGGCTGAAATCATATCTTTCCAACAGAACACTTCGTGTCAAGCTGGGTTCGTGCACTTCATCACCATTTGCTGCAACCTCCGGTGTTCCCCAGGGCAGCAATTTAGGACCATTGCTGTTCACAATCTTCTTCAACGATGTGACGCTCCTCTTGCCGAGTGGTTGTGTGCTCATATACGCCGATGATCTCAAACTATACATTGTTGTCAAGAACGTCGAGGATTGCCGTCAGCTCCAAGCAATGTTAGACCAATTTGTTGATTGGTGCCGCTTAAACAAGCTTTCCGTCAGTATATCAAAATGTGTGGTCATGACATTTAATCGCACAAGAACGCCAATCGTATTCGATTACTCAATTGATGGATTTGTACTAGAAAGAGTAGAACAAGTAAGCGACCTAGGTGTAATGCTGGACCCTAAACTTACGTTTGACTTACACCGTTCAATGGTAATCACTAAGGCTAATCGTCAGCTTGGTTTTATATCAAGAATCTCAAGAGATTTTTCGGATCCGTACTGTTTAAAAGCACTGTACTGTTCACTCGTTCGTCCGATTATCGAGACTGCATCTGTTGTTTGGACTCCCTACCAACTTTCGTGGAACATCAGAATAGAACGTATCCAAAAAACATTCATTCGTCGAGCATTAAGACAACTTCCTTGGAGAGATCCACTAAACTTACCTCCGTATGCTGAGAGATGTCGCTTGCTAAGCATGGACACGTTACAACGACGGCGACAAATTCAACAGGCAACATTCGTCGCGAAGTTATTAAGTGGTGAAATTGACTCTACCCACTTACTCTCTTGCTTGAACTTTCGTGCGCCAAGCAGATTTCTACGCTCAACGTTCCTATTGCGTCAAGACTCACACCGCTCTTCTTTTGGACAACATGAACCTGTTACGAGTATGATTCGCACGTTTTCTACAGTTGAAGAGTTGTTCGAGTTTGGGGAACCTGCTGCTCAATTCCAGAGACGTATTATTAACTCCAGATACATTTAGTATTTGTTATGGCTTCTGGTTCATTAAGACTTATTGTCAGATGGATGTATTAAATAAAAATAAATAAAGAAAATAAAGGTGGGTTGAGCAATAATCCAGCCCTTCAAAAATATTAAAATTTGTAATAGACACTTTATAAAAAAAAAAGGACGACCCGATTTTCTTATTTTGACCCAATGTGTCCTCTATTTTATGGTAGAAATGCCTCCAATTACATGAACAGTAGTTAGACAAATACCAATCAGCATTGGCACTATTCAGGTTTCTTTCCCCATAATCAAGAAGCCAGTGCATTGATTTAAACTTAACAAGTCTTTATTACACAGTCAACACGAGCAGTGTGTCACCTACATTAACGTAACTGCAAGCAAAAATGCTCAGCACCACCCGTGCACCTCTCGAAATCCGCAAGCATTAAGAAAACAACACCAACAGAAAGCCACATCTCTTAGTGATGCTGATCAATGTTGGCGTAGCTTTCGCCGCCATGTCCATGTGCATGTCCATCGTGATGTTCACCGTACACAGCCGGATGCTGGGCATGTCCAGCTCGCTGTACGTGGGCCTGGAAACCGACGTGTTTGTCTGATTTGTAGTTCACCACCCGGTGGGTGCCGTCGGCTTCGTGCAGAGAGTACGATCCTTGTACGGCATCGCCATCACGGTGCTCCCACTGTTCCTTGTTATCTCCGGTATGGGCATCCTTTACACCGTATTCGAACTTGTACTTGGGATGGGAATGGTAATCCTCGTGTTCATAGGCTGATACGACGACCGCCAGACAGGCAACCAGAGCGATGATCTGAAATTTATTGCAATGGGAATCTGATTAGAACCGATTTAGATGAAATACTCTCCAAAGCGTCTACCTTGAACATGCTGGATCTCCTGTTTGATTTTCTTGGTTCGAAAGGCTAACTGACTGACCCTATTGGTAGAGTGCTGTTACGAGACTGATACCTAATTCAGCTGGGCACTGAATATTTATACGAAAGTTTATTTTGTTTGGTCTTGAAGCGAGTGTGGCGAGAGCGGTGATTTGTTTTCTGTTTTATTTTCATGCCAGTATTCATTTACATGGTACTTTTTTGTCATGTAATCATGCTCGACTATTACACTGTACTTGTACAGCTGCTGTTCCTTTCGCTATGATTTTTTTTTTTGTTAAGGTTCTTGAACATTTTCGGGTGCTTATGGGCTGAAAATGACCGGTCGCAAAAGTCTGCCACAAAAAGTGTAGCAGAAGACAAAAACTATACCATTAGCGAGGTGAATTCATCTCCGTTTCATCACCAAAATGAGAACGTTCAAATACGATACGTTGCTTTCGATTTGGCTAGACTTGTGTGCCGTCACACCATACCACATCATTGGAGAAGCTAAAGCTACTAATCTTTAAACTATTAGCTGTCAATACCTCGTGAACATAATGGATTTTTGATGATCGACGCACAGCTCTACCGACCGCCCGACCACAACGAAAAACTTTTCGCTCGACGGCGGTCAAATGGCATGGGTCCGCCTTTGAACGACAGAATCTCCTTGATTGAGGGGTTCAATTTTCCTCCAATGATTTTCAGCCTCTTCTCTTTCACTACCACGCAGGTTTTCTCTTCGATTCGCACATCTCCCATGCTACAGTGGATATGGATTTTTGGAGGTGATTGGCTTCAATTATTTTTTTTAGCAACTTGCTTCTACCGCTCGAAAACCAATCATTGTCGGAGAGAAGAATCTCTATCGCGAACTTTGCTCGCCGGTGCCTCTGCTACTCCACCAGCCAGTGCCAGCAGCTGCCTAAAACTGGCCCCTTCATGAATGAACCCTCGGCAAGATTCGGCTATTAGTGCCCACCAGAAGCTCGTCTCTTGTGTGCGTATAAATACATCAATCTGCAGTACACCAAAGTATCAGTTGCACAGTAGCTTTTCATCCGATCACATTCTATCTAATTACAGACAGAAAAAATGTTCAAAGTAAGTTGCCCTATCAAACCCTACAGCAGTTACATATACTGACAATTTCACAATTCAATTCCAGATCATTGCCCTTCTCGCCTGCCTGGCCGTCGTTGTCTCTGCCCAGCACTACGGAGAAGATCACGGCCACCAAAAGGAGGAACACCACGCTCATCCCAAGTACAAGTTCGAATACGGTGTCAAGGATGACCATACCGGTGACCACAAGTCCCACTGGGAGGTGCGCGACGGTGATGTCGTCAAGGGACAGTACACCCTGCAGGAAGCCGACGGTAGCCACCGCATCGTAGACTACAAGGCCGATGATCACAATGGATTCGAGGCCGTCGTGAAGAATGTCGCCCACGGACATCACTAGGGCTGCATAGAGAGAAAGAAAGAATACGCGCTCGAGGGTACCAAACCAACACACATGGTTGGAACATTTGCTTCTGGAACGAATGTGATATTGTAGTTGTTGTTTAATATTAAATCGTTAATTGATCCAATTCACCAACAAAGTGCGTTTTATTTAACTGATATGGATGAGAAAAAGTGTGCACAGCAAAAAATTAATTTTAATATCACATCAAAGTGGATGCACTTCAGTCGTGTCGAAAATGTGGTGTAATATTACTTGCCAAAAAGACCAAAATTATCATTAATACAGTGCATGAACTGACATTACGCTGCTTTTACTGCATTTGTTTATTGTTGTGGCCATAAAAATTAAATTAGATTATCGACATGATTGAAGTGCATCTTCTTGGATGTAATATTAAAATTTATTTTTTGCTGTGTGGACATTTTTCAGAAGGAACGCCATAATCTCAAACAGCAGGAAAACCATTTAATTAAAACAGTGGTGCTTAGCTAAATGCATATGGCAGGCCATACGTAAAGTGCAGGCCACATGAGGGGGGTAGCGATATCGGGCAAGGATGACAAGGGCCGAATTTAAAGGGATTGCTCTTCATTGCATCAATACCAAACCATTTTTTAAAGATCTTAAACAAATATTTTAGTATCAAGAATCATGTAAAATATTACTGATATACAGATTTTCTGAGCTTCAAATTTGCACTGATATTTTGAAGTTCAAGATCTCGAGCGATTTCTAAAGTCTTAAGAAGTTTTCAGAGCTACCGAATCATGAAAATTCTCCGAAGACTGCCATTGAGCTGAACGGCCGAATTTTGGAAAGTGAATTATTGTATTTAGCATAAAATTTCTTAATTTTATCAATTCATTTTAGCTTTACTTTTCATATTAGCAATTCTATAATAGGCAAATAGTGATCAGCGTTACCATGTTATTTTCAGAAAAATCAGGACCAGTTATAATATAAAATCTGGAAAAATCTGTCTAAAAAGTCCTGTTTTTAACATAATGCTATTGAAATCAAATTGATGCGCCATCAGTATAATCATCTGGAATTTATTGAAAGAACCAGAATAGTAATGAAATACATGTCTAAATGCATCATATAAAGCAAATAACTTGTTAGCATCACAAAGTTAGCAAAAGTATTGGCACAATGTGCCCCTAAAGTTTAAATATCCATCACACATAATTTCTAATATGAATTAAATTTTGTTTAAAATACTGCAGAAAATATGTTTAAACTGTAACTTTTTTTTTAAAAAAGTATGAGACGCAAAGAATCAAGCAATTTTGATGAGATGGATTTTTTTTATAATAGTCGATGCAGCACTTACTATTTTATGCAGCACAGCAAAAAATAAATTTTAATATTACATCCAAGAGGATGCACTTTAATCATGTCGAAAATCTCATGTAATTTTTATGGTCACAAAATAAACAAATGCAGTAAAAGTAGCGTAACGTCAGTTAATGCACTGTATTAATGATAATTTTATCATTTTTGGCAAGTAATATTACACCATATTTTCGACATGATTGAAGTGCATCTACTTTGATGTGATATTAAAATTATTTTTTTGCTGTGAGTACCAGAATAAGTCTGAAAGATTTTATTAGTTCTAAATAATTCTAATATTACCCTGAGGTTGATCAGACTAACAAATTAATTCTTGAAAACATAACAACACACAATCTAAGCACAGACAAACAGACATAACACATTGAATATTTCTCACTGTAAAACATCGTCTCCAAAACATTACCGCCATCTGTTGAGTACACTGTGGTGGGCACTACACTGAACAGATGACGGTAGTGTGTAAACGTCAAACGCAAAGGAATTGACTTTGCGCGCCACAGGTGGCGGTACTACCAACTACGATACTTTTAAATTGGCTTAGATCAGTTTTCTTGACCTATCCACTTTAACGGATGTTCCGAATATTCCGGAGGACCATCCAATGGACCCGGTGGTCCATTTTCCAGTCACAACTCTGAGTTCATTCTGATGAGTTGTCTATTATTTTCCAGAGGAGCGTTTATGATCTCCAGCGTCTATTTTTCGATCATAACTCCGAATTCATAATTAAAAGACGTCTAAGAGAGTTTACGAAAAAAAAAACGGAGTTCTTGGATCAGTTCCATGAATTGAGCCTTTTTACGGATGTTTCAGATCTTTTGGAGGACCATCCACTGCACAATGGTCCCAAAGCCGTATTTAGGAAGACAAACATGTTTGCGCCCAAACATTCAGTTTGAGGTATATAGTGTCTTCGGGAAAGTTTCTTCATATTGTTTGGGCGATCTTCTTATGTTGGTGAAATAAGGGTGGTCCACAAAAATGGAGATTTGAAAATAAAATCTTTTTTATTTTTATTCTTTGAGATAGACCATTGCAATGTTCTAAAAGTTGTACAACAATCAATTCGAAGCAATTTTGCTCAAGACACCAAATTTCTATCTCTTATGGTGCATGAGTTTTGATTTTTTAAACAAGCAGGTTAGGATGGGCCCTAAAAAACAAATTTCTTCGAATATCTTTTCATAAGTTCATTTCTCGTAAAAAAACCTTGTTTTAGTTACATTTAGAACTTATGATGACGTATATTTTTGCTGAAGCAACCAGCTGCTATCTTTTATTTATTATTGGAAAATTAATGGAGATTTTCTTCGAAGAAATGGTTCTATTTAAATGACAATGTCTCTAAATGGAGCAAAGCGATTTTCAAACTTTTGATTTAATTTTTGATTCATTCAACATTTTTCACTTCATGATTTCAAACGGTGAAAGCGTTTTTTGTTTAAAATATTTAATTTAATTTTAAAAAATCTCTTTTTTTATCACAAAATAGTCATAACTTTTAAATAAAGGAGACATCAAATTAGTGACTTCTGCAAAAATATGCGTCATAAAAAGTTCTAAAAGTATTAAGAACAATGTTTTTACGAGAGGTTTGTTGCTAATATTTTTGTCTTCATGAATACGGCTTTGGACCATTGAGCATTGGTCCCAGGGTCAATTTTCTGGTCATAACTCTAAATTAATTCTGATAAGACGCCAATGAGTGCTTTCGAAAAAAGCGGATCTTTAAGCTCAGTTTCAAGAACTGAATTTTTTTATGGATGTTCAGTATCTTCCTGGTGAACTATCTCATGGTCCCAATGGTCCATTTTCCGTCTAAGCGTTCATATTCCAGTCACAACTCCAAATTCATTTTGATAAAACGTTTATGAGCGGTTTCGCAAACTCATGGAGATCTAGGATCAGTCTCATGAATTGACAACTTTTGCGGATGTTTCGGATCTTCCGGTGAACTATCCCGTGGTCCCCAGGGCCCATATTTCGGTCGCAACTCCTAATTCATTCTGATGAGACGTTTATGAGTGGTTTCGAAAAAAAACATGGAGCTCTAGGATCAGTTTCATAAATTGACCACTTTACGGATGTTCCGGATCTTCCGGTGAACCATCCCGTAGTCCCCAGAGCCCATATTCCAGTCACAACTCCGAATTCTTTCTGATAAGATGTTTATGAGTGGTTTCGAAAAATCCGCGGAGCTCTAGCATCAGTTTCATGAATTGACCACTTTTACGGTTTTTTCGGATATTATAGTGGATCATTCCATAGTCCCCAGGGTCAATTATTCGGTTATAACTTTGAATTCATTCTGATAAGATGTTTATGAGTGGTTTCGAAAAATCCGCGGAGCTTTAGGATGAGTTTCATGAATCGACCACTTTTACGGATGTTCCAGATCTTCGCGTGAACCATCCCGTAATCCCCAGGGCCCATATTCTGGTCACAATCCCGAATTCTTTCTTATAAGACGTTTATGAGTGGTTTCGAAAAATCCGCGGAGCTCTAGGATCAGTTTCATGAATTGACCACTTTTACGGATATTCCGGATCTTCGACAGGATCAGACTTGTGTCCTACCGGAAACTGAATCGTCCCAAAAGGTGGCCAACTTTCTGCTTAACAACTTCTCATAAGACATCAGACTAGAGGAAAATAATCTGATTTCAAAACAACCGTCATCCGGTTGCAGGCATCATTCGAAAAAGCGATTTCGGTGATTTGTTTTGAATGGTCTGGGGTTTCATTCAATCAGAGGATGATGTTTGTGTACAGTGTATAAGCGAAGGGAAAGTGGTATGGATGAGCCTGACATAAGAGATAAAATATCAAAATATAACACACAAAAAAATTTCCTACAATACCATTCCAATACGAAATTTGGCAAATGCAATACCAAAATAATACTACATAATTATTTATTTATTTTTTTTTTTTTGTACCAAAATATCATTTTTGGGTATTTACAGAGTATTTTGCATGCAATTTGTTGGTATTTTACCTCTTATGTCATGCTGATCAACACCAAATTTTGGTAATAAGGTATTCATTAGTTATTTTCTCCTACTCGGGTAGTAAATTTCAGCTTTTGATCGTTATTAAGGCTGCCGTTTTGGAATCTAGTGTGTTTAAAAATTGGAAATCTCTTTTCAAGTATTGGACCAAACGGCATTCGGCAAAATGGTCGGACACCAAGGTAAGTGTGCAACACTTTCAAAATTAATAGAAATTTCACAATGAATCTCACGCAGTGTAAACAATATACGCTGAGGCCATCTCACCCTACATTTCATTAAAATTAACCCAAAGGCAAAATGTTACAGCATCTTGAAAGTGACGCAAAACATATTTTTAAGAATTGCATATAAATTGTCGTCAGAAAATCACTGACTTCTCCATAAAATTCCCCTGGAATACTAATCACAATTGAAATTCCCTTCAGAGTATTGGAATATCAAAGACTCAATATCCATCCACGTCGCAGTATTTTGAAAAAATAAAATCCAACAATCTTTAAGATTTTAGTTTTTATAAGTTTAATTTGTATAATTTGGTCCAAAAGCTTTCGGTCTGTGACATTCAGAAAAAAAAAATCTATAACTAGGTAGTTTCTGAAACCATGTGAAAATGCTAAGTAAGGGTAGGGGGGAAAGGTAATGTTCAAGATTCATACAGATTAAAAAAATATATATATATTTATATGATTGTCCAAGAAAATGACATTAGCAAAGCGTTTTCATTATGAAAATTTTACTTTGGTGGACTCATAGGACAATACCAATCTCGATCCAGGTGAACAGAAAGCTTGCAGAGGTAAACTATCACCTAACGCAATTCCTTTCTTTTATTTATTTATTTATTAATTCGTCAATCAATAAAATCGTAGACTACATATGAACATTAGAACTTATTTTGTATGACTTCGCAGGATTCTGAAATATATTTTTAATTCTGTTGAGGGCATATTTGGGTTAATCATTTCACAATGATGATTATAAACAGTCATCAACTGATTTACCGGTCAAAATTTCTAGTCATAGTTGCTTCAGGAAGTACCTGCATCGTTTCGGAAACGCAAGGTCACCCCCTCTGCACGGAGTGTGGTGGAAACGCCGAGACATGTGGTCTTCGCCTGCTGCCATGGATATGCATGCCATTAGCGATGTGATCATCAACATGGAGAATGATGTTTAAGAAATGCGTAGAGACGAGGGCAGGTACAATGCAGTCAACAGGACAGCTTTTCAAATATTGAGCTACAGTGAAAGTGGAGAGACGATCAGCGAACTAGAAACGCCGACTAATTGAACTGAAGAGAAGTGCAGGGGCATTAAGGGTGCTTCAGTTTGAAACAAATATTTGCGATCTAATATGCCCCCTTCCAGTTTGATTTATAACCCCAAAATGTGAGCCTGTGCAAAAAAAGGTAAAGATTGATGAAGGTTTAGAGGTCACAAAAATGGTTTGAAGTTTGTATGGAGATAACGACTATTTTGTAGGGTAAGTTTTTGATTTTCATTACTAACGCTCTATCTCCGGTTCAAGTTGTCGGAATGCTGTCAAAATTGAATATGTGGATGCCGTGACAACGATAAACAAGCACTGACCATTTGCGCAACCTAAACTGCAAACCATTTGCACAACCTCTAAACCTTCATCAATCATATTTTGGAGTTATGGATCAAACTGGAGGGTGTTCTAAATGCTTTTTTTCTCAATGAAGCACCGGGGCATCAATAGCTTGATGTATTTCCCCCTGCTTGGATAACGATATCTAAGAAATACAAATGCTTATTATAAATTCAACTGTATTATTTTTTTTTTAATTCCGCACCGATTTGGATTCAACGCCATGCTCAAAATTCACGTCGAACAGGTTCTGCGGCAGAGAGAAATTTCGATCTTTTCCAGCTGCTCTCAGTTCGATCAAGCGAGTCAATTAATCGATTACCCTTATGCCACCCCATTATACCCAATAAATCAACTAAAGCTACCGCAAGTGACATCGGTTCACTGCGGATTATATCTGCTTCAACTCATTGTTCACCATCCAATTGACATTAACGCCATCCTACCACCAGCAACTTCAAATGTCCACGGCGCAAAAATAAAAATAAACTCACTCATGATACTTCATTTTTCCAACTGGTCCACTTCGGTCCACACATACTACAGGTATATAGCAAGACCGCGAGTGGGCTTATATTTGCAAAGAAAACATATTCAATTACATCTGATTACATAAAACTAGCTAACAAAGCGAAGAAACGAACACAAAATAGCCATTTTCACTAATTACGCCTGGTCGTCTCGTTTGGCTCCGAACCAAGATCTCGAGAATCATTTATCTTAGAGTTTGAGGTACACATATAGGTTGATTCGTTCGGTGGCTAGTAGTTTTTCTGGTTCGCATAGCTGGTGGCAAGCATTTCACCGCCTCCGTTTTTCCATCCATTATTCTGATTATAGTTGCCGGAGCTGGCCTGCTGGTCGTTCCAGCCATATCCATTGCCGTTCTGTTGGTGCTGATCCTCGTGCCGAACCACAAACGGAGCACCGTACGATTGTGGGTGTACAGCATGTCCAATGCGTTTCACAATCGCTTGAAAACCGTTCCATTTGTCGGCCTTATACTCAACGTAGCGCTTGGTGCCGTCGGGTTCATCCAGAGTGTAGCCACCCTTCAAACCGTGCTCGTTGCTGATTTCCCACTGGCTCTTGTGGTCACCGGTATGGGGGTCCTTGACGCCATATTCGAACTTGTACTTTGCACCGGAGTCCCAATCGTCCGAGTGATCGTTCCCAGCCAAGCACGATGCTAGCAGACATGCAGACAGGACGGTTATCTATAGGATAAATGATGTATTAGAACAGGACAGCTGCGATCGAAGTCTTGAACTCACTTTGAACATTGCTATCAGAGCTCTTCGAAAGTTGACAGAACCGAAACTAGTTCACAACTGATAACACTTTGATCTTATCTCAGGCCTTTTATATAAGTGGTACCTTCGTAGGGTCAATTATATAGAATGAGTTTTTGAATTTTAATGCTAATGTTATTGTTTTCTGAACTGATTGCTTTCTAATCGATAAGCAAGGCAATTGTAAGTCACTTAGAGATCATTGATGACATTTTCCTCAATGGAATTCAACAGCTGTGGTTATTTCACTCAAAAAAATGAAAGGACAAACATATAAAAGGCAACTGATAAGATTAGGGAGCTATCAGTCGCCGATTGACTTCGGTTCAAGCAAGTTTCTTGTTCCTTTTTTTTTGCAGAATAACATCATAAAAATGTTCAAGGTATATTTGTTTCGTTAATATAACGCAATCGAACTTCAATTCCCTCTTTATTCTAGATTATAACTTTAGCATCTTGTTTGGCAATCATCTGTTCGGCCAGCCAGGACCACTCGGACGACTGGGGCTGGAATGGCAAGTATAAATTCGAGTATGGTGTTAAGGATCCCCACACCGGTGATCACAAGAGCCAGTGGGAAGTCAGCGATGGACATGGCGGTCTCAAGGGTGGCTACACTCTGGATGAAGCCGATGGCACCAAGCGCTACGTTCAGTACAAGGCTGATAAATGGCACGGTTTCCAGGCGATTGTGAAACGCATAGGTCATGCCGTTCATCCGCAGTCCTACGGTACTCCTTTCGTTGTTCGATCAGCAGAAAAGGATCATCAAAAGAACGGCAATGGACATGGATTTGAAGAGCAGTCCAATGGAAAGTCATATCCGCAACAACAAAATGGCTGGGTGGATCAACAGGCCAGCTCCAGCGGTAGCAACAAAAATGGTAATGGATGGAAGAACGGGAACGGAGACATGTATGCCACCAGCTACGTCAAACAGAAAAACTATTAGTAAGCAATGGAAATTGATTTCAAAATTAATTTAATTTGGAAGTATTGAAACAATTATCGAATCAATAAAAATGTCAAAGCATAATATAAATTATGATTTGTCTTGCTTTCATTTAAAAGGATACATCACTATTCTCATGACATGAAAAGTAATATCATCACTAATAGGGGAAGGAGGGGTATAGTGAACAGGTGGGGCATATTGAGCATCCCACCCTTTGGCTTTGGATCTCCAGCTGCATGAAACAAATCAACTGGTAGTAGGTTCAATATCATTTTGATATTGATCCTACCACCAACCAATTTGTTCCTAACGACCGGAAGTCCAATCTGGTGCACGGGATGCTCACTATGCCTCACCTGTTCACTATGCCCCTCTTACGCCTATCATTAGAAAAAAAAACAATCCTAATAATTTGGCAATTATGACACGCTTTCAATTTTATGGATAAATAAGTTTTACAATTTCTGATTGGGTATCTTTGTCTTGAATCACTTGGAATGTAAGATGCATTTGAGTACTCGATGCCATAAATATTTAAAAATTGTGCTTCAATGCTTATTTTCTACTGGTCTTAGTCGATGTGCTTAATGAAAATTCGATGTATCTTTCGTATTTTCTTGAAAACGATATTAGAAGGCAAGACCATGTGTTTGCGTGGAGAGATGTTGCGAGAATGGTGTACAAAAAAAACCACTGCCTACAGGTGGAAATCGAATCCACTCCTCCCAGTACGCTAGACGGGTGCTCTACCACTATAGTACCGTAGACTTGATGCTACCTTCATCAAGATTACATAGGAGTAATGTGATAGAGACAGTCCAACTCCCCTAGTATGTGGGATTTGATACATCACTCTCGCTTCACACTCCACCACATGATCTTTGTTGTCTACTGGTATCGGAGTGAAAGAGTTATTCTGGATGGAGCCTTGTGGAACTCCCGCTGTGATCCTAAGCAATCTCTGTCCCATGTCTGTCTCGTAGGCCAGAACCCGGTTCTGGAAATAACTCCTCAGGATCCTGCACAGATAGTCAGGGGCCCTCATTACAGGGTGATTCAGAATAACTGTCACCGATTTCAGAAATATGCAATTCTAAATGGGTAAAATGGGTATATGTTCAAGTATTTTTGTTTTAAAGTGTGTGCCACTGTCAGCTTGTATTGATAGTAGGATTTGAAATTTCATTCGTTTTCGATTTCAAGCAGTCTTGGACGTGAAAATGGAGCATGTCATAAATTTGTATAAAATCGTGTGTTATCTTTTAGACACTGAAATCTCTTCGAAAGAATGAAACATTTATTTTTCGCATCATTATAGAGGTAAAAAGGAACCATGCGTGGAAAATCCGTTCAATAACTGTGCTCAGACGCATCGCCAGGACTTCAAAAGTGAACTAAAACTTGCGTGCCAGCTGTGGTTCGTTTTCGTGATAAATGTGGTTGGTAATTAAAGGTAAAGGGAGTGAGATTTGAATTAAAGTATGCTAAGTTGAAGGTTATATATGTAATATATCTGGAATATACTGATATCAAAAAATAATACAAGCGTTTAATCGTTATGACCGATTTTAAAAGTGACAGTTATTACGAATCACCCTGTATATGCAGTACTTCGGCGATGGCCTCCCAGCTGGCGCTGTTGAACTCATTCTTGACGTCGATCATTATCACGGCGCAAAATCGATCTCCTCTCCGCTTCTGTTTGGACGCCTTCTCAGCTCTCTTGACCACTGTCCGAATCGCATCCACCGTTGATCTCCCTTTCCCGAATCCAAACTGCCTCTCCGACAAACCGTGCTCACTCTCCGTGTATTTCGTCCGCCTGTTTAGGATGATTTTCTCCAAGAGTTTTCCGAGTGTATCCAGCAGGCATATAGGTCTGCACGATCCGGTATCCTCCGGCGGTTCTCCTGGTTTCGGCAGCAACACTACCTTCTGTATCTTCAACCTGTCGGGGAAGTGACTCTCGTCCAGGCATTTCTGCAGCACAATTCTGAACATGTCCGGGGACGCTTGGATCACCACTTTCACCGCTACGTTGGGGATTTCATCCGGGCCGGGAGCTTTCTTCACCTTCAATCCTTTCGCCACTGCTACGAGTTCCTCGTTGGTGACTTCGACGTTATCTCCGTACGGTGTAGGTAATGACGTTATTTCCGAACGGTGTAGGTGGCCAGTTCGTTGGACCGTGCTTCAGAAAAAGTCCCTCCACGATGACTTTCAGCTTCTCTGGCACATTTCAGCGGACATCGTTTGACCTCTGATCTTCGCCATCAGGGGTTGGCATCAGCATCTCCTTAAAACAGTTTGACTTGCTCTGCTTTAACTCTCGTTTAAGTGCGGCCCTGGCCGCTCGAAACACTCCTCTTCGTTCCTCTCTGTCTGCTTCTGTTCTTGCTCTCTGAACACGTCTTCTGGCTCTGAGACAAGTAGCGCGAAGGGTTCTAAGTGCCTCGTTCCACCAGTAAACTGGACGCTGTCTGTTATTTGGCTCCAGTTTTCTCGGCATGGTCGTGTCACACGCTCTCACTAACGTTTCTGTCAGCTCGTCCACGTTCAGATCAACGGGTTCCTGTTCACACGGAGTACCTCAACGAAAAGATCCTTGTCGAAAGCCTTCGTCTTCCACTTCCGGTCACAAGTTCTCGTCCTCCGTACTGCCACAGTATTCCGTTGGCCGATGCCATATCGGATCGTCTGATGGTCCCTATGGATATGTTACGTCGATAATCGATTCCCGGAAATCTCTGCGAAAAGTGCTGGTGGTGCCTTCGTTGGACAGCATTACTTCAAGGTTTGCCAGAGCTTCCAACAGACTGTGTTCTCTTGCATTAGAACATCTGTTTCCCCACTCCACTGCCCAAGCCTTAAAGTCTCCTTCGATGACTACGGTCTTCGTCCGATCAGCTCCTCGGTAAATCCATCATGGAACAGGTCCATCGGGGGGGGGTGCGTAACAACTACAGATGAAACTTTGATTGACTTTAATGATCACGAAACCTTCGTATGAGCTCGCAGCCACTTCTTGAATAGGGTATCTGCCCATAACTAGCCGCCATCTCAGCTCTATTCGGCACCCAGTTACCATTATCGGGAGGGACTCGATACGGTTCCACAATGATTGCAACATCACACTTTGTTTATGTTGTCGACTGCCACAACTTGCTGTGCAGTGTCACAATGATTGAGGTTTATTTGGGTTGCCTCCATTACTGTTGGCTTGCCATCGCTTTTTTGTATGCTAGACATTCGAAGCCTCCCGTTGTATGGACATTTCCGTCCTCTTTTTGCAAAGCCTGCACCTCGGTTGCTACGTGCAGCCTCTTGCAATGTGACCCTTCTCTTCGCATTTCCTGCACATATCAGATCCTGCAGTTCCTCGCCTGGTGACCGAAACCCATGCACTTGGCAGCCTTGGCTCTCATCCTCAGCGCATCTTGCTCACGTTCGGTAGTAGTCATGGCGGATTTGATACCAGTCACCTTTATTGCCTTGTGGACGTTGCTCTTACGCTTGTCGAAATCATGGAGTTTATTGATTCTCCTCCTGACCTCCATTATTTTGGTCTTTCCAATCTGCAGTACTTCTTGGGGTGTGCTACTGCTCGATGTGAACATCTGGCTTAGCACAAGATCTTGGAGCCCTTGGGGCTTACTGCTGCTGCTGGGATTGCTGTGGCCACCAGATTCAACACTGGTGATCTCCGCAATATCCCGCTCCTCCGTTTTCACTGTCTGGCTTCTTACCGTTTTTTCGTTTACTTCATTTTTCTTTTTTTCCGTTTGTCGCTATTCTGTTGAGTCCCTCTTCCGAGCCACTATCTGCACTGGTTGTATGTAGTCGCCTATCGTGATCCCATGATTATCTATTCAAACAGGGAAACAGCTAGGGTTGACACGGTCCTTCATGGGGGCTGTGTTCAGAGCCAGATTGACGTAAGTCAGGAATGTTACATCAGAGCCTACTACTCACCAACCACCAATTTGTGACGAGTTTTGAACGTATCCGGAGACTTGCCAAGATTTTACCGGGGCGGTGGCAGCCGCACCATTAGCCCACTCACAATTTCAAGAAGGTGTCATCCTTCTTTACTCAAGGAGCAGAATAGCACGACTGTCGGCCCTATAGCGAGGTATTCAATTCATTGTGCCATGTCGTGTCGATTGTTTCATGGCATACTGGACCTAATGATGATCTTACCGGCGTTGATCCCAAATTGGCACTCCTGTGGGCTGACTAAGCATTTCCTTCATCACCGTGTTATGGTTACCGCGCCAGTGTTCGCGTCGCACCCCCTACTTTTGCTATTGTCGGAAGGACAAAATTGTCGGTGTTCTTACGAGAACCAGTGTTTTCAACATGGTATGATCTTCCGCAATTTCTTCAATGAGACACGACTGAATTTTATGGCTATTATGTATCTAATAATTTTATGAGCAGTAGCAGAAAACCAGCATCTACGCTATGGATGGGCCGATTCCGACTTCGTCGTCCGTCTTCTCTTGCTTGCAATTATTCATACGTCGGAGTGTCAGTTGATAAAAATTTAGCCAATTGGATATAAAACTGTGTATTGGCTAAATTTTCAGCATCCATGTTGGGCATTCCTGATACATAGGGTTTTTGGTCTAATTTCCGTCTTACTAAGGACAACCCGTGCTTTACCTCTCTTTTCTGAACGAATTTAAACCAAAAATGGAATATTTCTGTCAAAGATGACTTTTAAATTTATCCACCTTTCCATACGTTCCGTTGGATTTGATAAAGAGTCACAAATTGTTGAGATATTGTTCAAAATCTAATACTGCTTTTTGATTCTAAATTCGTCCTACGGATAAACGTAGAAAAAGGGGATTCGCTATGAGCGCTTTTTTTGTTTCGAGAACAATGAGCGTAAATATTCATACAATGCACTCAAATAGGGTTAATGTTGAAGCTAATGAACTAACGCATCGGAACAAACCTATTATTGATTTGTGCACAGTGAAATCATTGAT